GCGGGATATCTGTTGCGCTCGGCCGCGGAAGGTGGTATCCTGAATGATGTTGGTCAGGAAGCCTTCACCTGGAAGTTCGGCAGTGGTGAGTTCCTGAGCCTGGACCAGGCTGCCCCTCTCCTCGGCGAGCTGCAGCACACCGTGGAGCTTAAGCAATGGAGGAGCTCTGCGGAGCTGTCTTGCGGAGAAGGCCTCCCGGGAGGCGAGGACTTGCAGTCGTACCACAAGCTGGTAGGAGACCACACGTTCGCCAAGCGTGGCCGACAACTGTTGGAGCTCATGCTGGCGGTGGCGACGGGAGGGTTCTGGACGCGTGCTCGGAGCTTCGAGGCCGCCCTGTGCAGCGACGAGGACTGCCAGCGGTGCCGTCAAAGTCGTAAGACTGCCCTGCACCGCTGCTAGACCTGCGAAAAGAACTGTAAGAGCGCTGCATGCACACAGTTTGATCACATGTTGCCAAGACCAGTCGCCGATCAAGAGGCGCGCCCGTGCCTCTAGATGCGTGGTTTAGCCCCGACCTGCTGGACCTCGGTCTCCCCTCCTGTGCCCTCAGAGTCTGGCAAGGGAACTCGTTGGAGGGCGACGGCCTAGTAGGACCCGCCAGTATGGATCTGGTACGGTGACCATCTCGTGGTGTTTGGGAACACCTCGGGAGGGGCCGATACTCACGATAGAAGGTTGCGTAGGGTATGGGGTCAGCATTGCCTTGTACCTCTGCTTGATCCTGTGATCCTGTCGTTCTAGGCCCTCGCCCCTTGGGGCCTCTCAAGGGACCCTGGCAAGCGGTGCCCAGAGGGGAAGTGCAAGTTGTCGGATGGTCTGTTCTGTCCTCTGCAGGAGCTTTCGCTCATGTCACCGAGCTGTGCCGAGGTTCACCGGAGAGTGGCGTGCTCGGCTATACGGCGCACCGTCAAGGCCTCAGGCCGACCTGTGGAGAGCCATCGGCCAGCTCACAGAATCACGAACGTGCTTGCATTTCTATGGCCCGAGTTCCCTCGCATCTTGAAGGGAACAAGGTGGCCATGCAACTATGGCCGAGCTGGTTAAATTCAGGGGAACGATGGAATCGATATCTTTGCCAAGGTTTCAGCCTCCCACGCCCGTGTTGTCCAGCACGGGCGCACTCGTGTCCTCGGCATCGAGACCAAAGCTGACCGCGTTAGGAAGAGCGTGTTAAGAGCTGCCGTTGATGGTCTCGCTGCGTCGCAGGCGGCGGGGGGGGACAGAGATAGGATATCTGCCGAGGCCACTCGCCCCCCCCCTCCCGCCGCCGCCACCCATAGCTGCTGCATGATTCGTGACCTCACACGTACTGGGCGGAACTGGGGGCCGTGCAGCGTGTGTGAAGACTCGGCGACCTAGGCTCGTTCATCTGAGAAGTTAGAATTAAGTGTTTCTAGCCTCATTCCGTGGATGGTATGTGATCCCGACGTCCCCGACGACGGGTTTTACACCTAGCTGGTAGCTGGACCCATCCCTCACACGCCTTACTTGACCGTCATCAATTGAAGATCTAGTACTGCGGCACATGCGGCTTTTTCGGTCAGGCTTAGGCCAAAGGCCTGCGGAAGCCGTGCAGTCTACCGATCTCCCAGACCCGCCGAGAGTATCTCGATTGGAACTCCAGAGATCGCTGTCCCAAATTAGGCTGTACGTGATGGCAGAAATTTTGGAAATACTCCTCCCTCTCCTCCTCCTTCTTCAGTTTCTTCTCCTCGTCCTCATCTTCACTCATCCTCATGTGTGCTCCTCCTCACTTCTCCCTCCTCCTCCTCCTCCTCCTCCTCCTCCTCCTCCTCCACCTCCTCCTCCCTCCCTCCCTCCCTCCCTCCCTCCCTCCGAAACCCCCTGCCTACCGCAGCAATTTGGGCTCAAGGCTCGGCACAGCGCGCAGCTGGCCGCTTTTCAAGGACCCAAAGATGAGCCGCGGGGTCCCGACTGATCCGCGTTGCCCTCACCTCTGCCGCACCTGCCAGGAGCCCACGAAAGTGGCGACGGTTGAGCAGCTCGCAGCTCCCAACGGGGCCGCGAGGTCACCAATGATCCGCGTTGCCCTCATCTCGGCCCAGGAGCCCACGAAAATGGCGACGGTTCCGCAGCTCGCAGCTCCCAAGCGGGCTGCGAAGTCACAAACGATCCGCCTTTCCCTCACCTCCGCCGTGCCCCCCAGGAACATACGACAATGGCGACGGTTACACAATTCGCAGCCCCCAAGCGGGCCGCGAAGTCCCAAATGATCCGCGCTGACCTCACCTCCGCCGTGTCTTCCAGGAGCCGACGGTTGCGCAGTTCGCAGCCCGCGAGGGAGCGCACAGGATACGGGAGGAGGTAGGCGGAGGAGGAGGCAGAGAGGTGGAGGAGGAGACGGGAGGAAGGAACATGAAGCGCGAGCAGTGCCCTATTCAAATCATGTTTCAAGCACAGGAGGGTTGGGAAATAAGGTTCTCGCTTCAGCGCCGCGCACATTCGCGTCGTGTCCAATATTCCTCCAGCTACAGGATGGAAGGCCAATGATGCTATAGATGCGGCCCTCGCCTTAACGCCGTGCGCGTTCGTGTTACAAGTGAATTACAGCAACAAGGATGTAGGTCAGAGTGCTTCGAAATGTGGCTCCCGCTTTAGACTTCCTTAACTTCACCCCAAAGTTGTGCAAAAGTTGCACTGATGGAGGGCTGCTCATTTTCAACATGGGGCTCTCGCTTTAGACTTCTGCAGGCTTTGTGACCGGAAGCTTGACATTGCGCAACACGTGCGCGGATGGGGGCAGACCCTGTACAAAACGGGGCTGCAGTTGGACACTTCCTCGAAGGTCCCCAGCATGGCGATTTTTACATATTTCGGGGGGACGTCAGACTCAGGCTCGGGGGACTCGGGCTGGCCTGACGGGGCCGTCATAAAAATCACGCAACCCAGCCTGAAATTTGACGCGAGCTCCCCCTGCAGACATCCTACGGAAACTGGACCGTCGAGATCCAGGGCGGGCTCGGCAAGAAGCGTCGGCAAACCCGAGACCTGGCGTACTCTGGCCTCTCGCTTCCCCGAAGATTGAAGGATGGAGGGCGGGTCAGTCATGGAACGGGATCCCGAGTGCGTGGCAGGCTCCCTGGGCGCTCGTCCCTCAAGGGGGCGCCTCCCACCCAGGGAAGGGTACTGGTGGGGACTCACGAGGGGGGGACTCGGGACGCGGGCGTGTAGCCAAGCATCGCTGACGCATGGATGCCACAACCTCAACAAGCACATCGGGAAGGTAACGCCAAGAAAAATACACACGCTCGCAAGATAAGCCAGGGAAGGAAGGGAGTAGGGAGAGGGAGGAGGGGCGAGGTGGAAGAAGAGAGAATTGAGGGAAACCCTAACCCAGCTCCTGCGGTTCCAACGTGGCCGCGCCACTCACGCGGGGGGGGAAGGTGTGTGCGCAAAACATGATGGCGAAAACGATCACATCTGCTAGCCTCCTGACAACGTCCTGCCCTCTCTGAGAACCCAGTTCAGAGCGTGGACACACTTCACCTGCTCAGGAATGATGGGGGGGCCCTCTACCTCCTCCAATCATGAAAGGCCGAAAAGCCTTCTGGCCCCCAACGGCGGCACATGCCCGCACAACTTGGGTCACTCTGAATATGCCTCGAGCAGTCACAAGTACGGAGTAAAGCTTCCAAGATCACGTATGACGTCCCTCTGTGCTCGCTGGAAGGGAGCAAAGGGGAGCGACGGCCCTGGGACTTCCTCCGACAAACACCACATACGTAAACTTGTGCAACGGCTACAACGATGGAGCGCAGTTCCATTTCAAAATCGAGCTCTCGTCGGAGACTTCGCTCGATTTGGCGGCAAGAAGTCTAAACTTGTTCGAATCTGCACGGATGCAGGGCGGTTCCTCTTCCAAGGCGTGGCTGTCGCCAGGCATCTCCTGGCACTCTGCAGCCCAGACTGTTCGCATTCCTTACCGCTCGAAGAGATGGAGGGGTGGCTGGCCCTCAAAGCAGAACTCCCGCCCGACTTGCGGGACCACGGGGCGCTCGCCCGTCACGGGGTGCGCCTCGCGCAGCGGAGAAAGGACGCCTGCGCGACTACTGAGGAAGGGCCCTCGAGGCGGGCGGGTGTGGCACAGCACCGTTCATTCAGCTTCCGTTTTGTCGGGTTTCCTCCTCCTCGTCCTCGTCCTCGTCCTCCTCCTCCTCCTCTTCCTCCTCCTCCTCCTGCTGCGTTTCTGCGTTTCTCGCTCCGAGCAGCGTCTCGAACCTCCTCCTCTTCCTCCTCCTCCTCCTCCTCCTCCTCCTCCTCCTCCTCCTCCTCCTCCTCCTCCTCCTCGTCCTCCTCCTCCTCCCCCTAGTCCTCGTCGGGGGGGGAGGAGGAAGGAGCTTCGCCGAGGGGCATCGGGGAGGAGAAGGAGGGGGAGAATCGAGAGGGAGCGGGGAAGAGGGGGGGGAGGATGAGGAGGAGAAGGATCGACAAGGATCGAGGAGGGGGATCCAGGGGGAGGGGATTTTTTGTTGAATTGCGACCTGATTCGCCACAGACAGCGGTCAGATGAAGGGGGAGGGGGGGGAGGGAGGGGGGAGGACAGGGGAGGAGGGGGGGAGGGATGGGAGGGGATGGGGGGGGGGGGGCAAGGGAAGGGGATCGAGGTTGGAGCGTCTCGCGGGACACGATTCCTGACCACACGACCGCCGCCTACGGCAGGATTTGACAAGAAGCAAATCGACGCCTGCAAGGCCACCCTCGTCAGGCTTTGGGCGGAAGCTTGCGGGAAGAGTACAAGGTGGGCCTTACTCTCCTGCTAGGCCAATCTATAGAAATGGAAATGCATCGCAACATGCTGGAAAGCTTCGGGGGAGGGGTGGGCTAAACCAAGAGCCAGGAGGAGGGAGGGAGGGGGATCGCGGAGGAGGAGGAGTATCGAGGCAGAGGGGGAGGAGGACCGAGGAAGAGAAGAAGAGAGGAGGATAGAAGAGCAGGGTGGAGCAGGAGGAGAGTGCTCCCAGGGGCAGCCAGGGCACCCGCGACAGCTCGCCGTCGGCCCCCCTCAGCGCCCCCTCTTCTCGCGACGGATCCTTCGCGCGGCAGGCGCCGCCGACGTGCCGACCGCCGCTGTCCGCCCCTGGGGTTGCTAGGAGTGTCCCTGGCCCCAGGTGTGCCCCCAGGTGTTGGCCCCCTGGCCAAGGTGTGCCCCCTGGGGTTGCTAGGAGTGTCCCTTCCGGAGCCCCTGGGGCCCTCCGGGCCTCGCGAGGGGTGTCCTTGGGCCAGGGGGCACTTCTGGCAACGCCTGATCTTTCGTCGCCGTGTTCCTCGACCGCTGCTGTTGCTGCTGCTGCTGCTGCTGCTGCTGCTGCTGCTGCTGCTGCTGCTGCTGCTCCTGCTGCTGCTCCATCCCCCCGCCTCCCTGTCATCCAAATCCGCCGACCCCAGAGGCGTGTGCGACCGACCGTGGCAAGACATGAGCATTTCCCCCCACCAACGATCAACGCCCTCCTCCTTGCACCCCTCTTCGCCCCGGCGCTCCCCGCCGCGCTCCGGCATTCTCACCCAGCATCCTCACCCGGATCCTCACTTATCTTCACCCGCGATTTCACCCGCGATTTCACGCTCAAAATCGACCGATACCCCCCTCCATGCCCCCCACATGGCCACGGCATCCACTGGCCTCTGGGCTCTGCTCTTGGGACCCCCGACCCGACGATTTCTCACCCAAAATCAACCGATTCCCCCCTCCATGCCCCCCACCTGGCCACGGCATCCCCAAGCCTCTGGGCTCTGTTCTTGGGACCCCCGACTCCGCGATTTCCCCACCAAAATCGACCGATGCAGTCCTCCATGCCCCCCACCTGGCCACGGCATCCCCAGGGCTCTGGGTCTGTTCTTGGGACACCCGACCCCGCGATTTCTCCCCCAAAATCGACCGATGCTCCGCCCCATGCCCCCCACCTGGCCACGGCATCCCCAAGCACCTGGGCTCTGTTCTTGGGACCCTCGACCCCGCGATTTCTCGCCCTAATCGACCGATGCCCCCCTCCATGCCTCCCCCCCCCCTGGCCACGACATCCCCAGGCCTCTGGGCTCTGTTCTTGGGACCCCCGACCCCGCGATTTCTGGCCCAGACTCGACCGATACCCCCTCCATGAACCCCACCTGGCCACGGCATCCCCAGGCCTCTGGGCTCTGCTCTCGGGACCCGCGACCCCGCGATTTCTTGCCCAAAATCGACCGATACCCTCCTCCATGCACCCCCCCACACACACACACACACACACACACACACACACACACACACACACACACACACACACACACACCTGGCCACGGCATCCCCTGGCCTCTTGTTCTTGAGGCCCCCGACCCGCGATTTCTCGCCGAAAATCGACCGATGCCCCCCTCCATGCCCCCCCTGGCCACGGCATCCCCAGAGCTCTGGGCTCTGTTCTTGGGACTCCCGAGCCTACGATTTCTCACCCAAAATCGACCGACACTCCCCTCCATGCCCCCCACCTGGCCACGGCATCCCGCACTCTGGGCTGTGTCTCTTGGGACCCCCGACCCTTCTACGATTTCTCGCCCAAACTCGCCGATACCCTGCTCCATCCCCCCACCTGCAACGGCATCCCCCCACCTGGCCCTGTTCTTGGACCCCCCCCCCGATTTCTCGCCCAAAATCGACGGAATACCCCCCTCCATGCCCCCCACCTGGCCACGGCAGCTTTCCCCAGGCTCTCCTGTTTCTCGTGGCCCCCGACCCCGCGATTTCTCCCCCAAAATCGACCGATACCCCCCCCCCCCATGCCCCCCACCTGGCCACGGCACCCACTGGCCTCCGGGCTCTACTCTTGGGACCCCGCCCCCGCGATTTCTTCCCCAAAATCGACCGATGCTCCGCTCCATGCCCCCCACCTGGCCACGGCATCCCCAAGCACCTGGGCTCTGTTCTTGGGCTCACGACCCCACGATTTCACTGCCAAAGTCGACCGATACCCCCATCCATGCTCCCCACCTGGCCACGGCATCCCCAGCCCTATGGGCCCTGTTCTTGGGACCCCCGACCCCACGATTTCTCTGCCAAAATCGACCGATACATTCCACCATCCTCCCACCTGGCCACGGCATCCCCAGGGCTCTGGGCTCTGTTCTTGGGACACCCGACCCCACGATGTCTCGCCCAAAATCGACCGATACCCCCCTCCATGCTTCCCACCTGGCCACGGCATCCCCAGGGTTCGGGGCTCTGTTCTTGGGACCCTCGACCCGGACGATTTGTCGGCCCTAAATCGACTGATACCCCCCTCCATGCCCCCCCCAACCCCCCCCCCCTGGCCACGACATCCCCAGGCCTCTGGGCTCTGTTCTCGGGCCCACGACCCCGCGACTTCTCGCCCAGACTCGACCGACACCCCCCTCCATGAACCCCACCTGGCCACGGCATCCCCTGGCCTCTTTTGTCCTTCAGGCCCCCGACCCGACGATTTCTCGCCGAAAATCGACCGATACCCCCTCCATCCCCCCCTCCCCCCTGGCCACGGCATCCCCAGAGCTCTGGGCCCTGTTCTTGGGACCCTCGACACCGCGATTTCTTACCCAAAATCGACCAATACCCCCCTCCATGCCCCCCACTTGGCCACGGCATCCCCCAGCCTCTGGGCTCTGTTCTTGGGGCCCCCGACTCCGCGATTTCTCCACCAAAATCGACCGATACTCCCCTCCATGCCCCCCCCCCGCTTCTCCTTCACCTGGCCCCTCTGGGCTCTGTTCTCGGGACCCGCGACCCTGCGATTCTTCGCCAAAAATCGACCGATACTCCCCTCCATGCCCCCCACGTGGCCACCGCCATCCCAAGGCCTCTGGGATCTGTTCTTGGGACTCCCGACCCTACGATTTGTCGCCCAAAATCGACCGATAACACCCAACACCTCCTCCATGCCCCCCCACCCGGGCCACGGCTCCCCAGGGCCTCTGGGCTCATGTTCTTGGAAAGCCCCGGAACCCGACGATGTCCTCGCCCCAAATCGACCGATACCCCCCTCCTGCCCCCCCACCTGGCCCAGCATCCCGGGCCCCTCTGGCTCTGCCTCGGACCCGCGATTTTGAAAACTTCCGCCACAATCTACCGCCACCCCCCTCCATCCCCCCACCCACTGGCCACCCCACTGCCTTCCCCAATGCCTTCTTTGCTCTGTTCTTGGAGCTCCCGACCTCACAATGTCTCGCCCAAAATCGACCGATACCCCCCCCTCCCACCCCTTCCCTCCCACCTGGCCACGGCATCCCCAGGCCTCTCGGCTCTATTCTTGGAATCCCCGACCCCACGATTTCTCGCCCAAAATCGACCGATACCCACCTCCATGCTCCCCACCTGGCCACGGCATCCACAGGCCTCTGGGCTCTGTTCTTGGGACCCCCGACCCCACGATTTCTCGCCCAAAAACGACTGATACCCTTTTCCATGCCTCCCACCTGGCCACGGCATCCCCAGGCCTCTGGGCTGTGTTCTTGGGACCCCCGACCCTACAATTTGTCGCCCAAAATCGACCGATGCAGTCCTCCATGCCCCCCCACCTGGCCACGGCATCCGCAGGCCTTTGGACTCTGTTCTTGGGACCCCCGACCCCACGATTTCTCGCCCAAAATCGACCGATGCCCCCCTCCATGCCCTTCACCTGCCCACGGCATCCCCAGGCATCTGGGCTCTGTTCTTGGGACCCCCGACCCCGCGACTTCTCGGCCAAAATCGACCGATACCCCCTCCATGCCCCCCACCTGGCCACGGCATCCACAGGCCTCCGGGCTCTATTCTTCGGACCCCCGACTTCACGATTTCTCGCCCAAAATCGACCGATACTCTGTCCATGCCCCCCCCTCCCCTCCTGGCCACGGCATCCTCCGGCCTCTGGGCTCTGTTCTTGGGACCCCCGACCCCACGATTTCTCGCTGAAAATCGACCGGGACCCCCCTCCATGCTTCCACCTGGCCACGGCATCCCCAAGCCTCTGGGCTCTTTTCTGGGGGCCCCCGACCCCACGATGCCTCGCCCAAAATCGACCGATACCCCCCTCCATGCCTCCCACCTGGCCACGGCATCCCCAGGCCTCTGGGCTCTGTTCTTGGGACCCACGACCCCACGATTTGTCGCCCAAAATCAACCGATACCCCCCTCCATGCCCCCCACCTGGCCACGGCATCCACTGGCCTCTGGGCTCTTTTCTGGGGACCCCCGACCCCGCGATTTCTCGCCCCAAATCGACCGACACCCCACTCCATGCCATGCCCTCCACCTTGCCACGGCATCCCCAAGCCTCTGGGCTCTGTTCTTGGGACCCCCGACCCTACGATTTGTCGCCCAAAATCGACCGATACCCTCCTCCATGCCCCCCACCTTGACACGGCAATTCCCCGGGCTCTGGGCTCTGTTCTTGGGGTCCCCGACCCCACGATTTCTCGCCCAAAATCGACGGATACCCCCCTCCATGCCCCCGACCTGGCCACGGCACCCCCAAGCCTCTGGGCTCTCTCCTCGGGACCCTCGACCCCGCGATTTCTCACCCAAAATCGACCGATACCCCCCTCCATGCTTCCACCTGGCCACGGCATCCACTGGTCTCCGGGCTCTATTCCTGGGACCCCCGACCCCGCGATTTCTGACCCAAAATCGACTGATACTCCGCACCATGCCCCCCACCTGGCCGCGGCATCCCCAAGCATCTGGGCTCTGTTCTTGGGACCCACGACCCTACGATTTCTCGCCCAAAATCGACCGATACCCCCCTCCATGCTCCCCACCTGGCCACGGCATCCCCAGCCCTATGCGCCCTGTTCTTGGGGCCCCCGATTCCACGATTTCTCGTCAAAAATCTACCGATACACCCCGCCATCCTCCCACCTGGCCACGGCATCCCCAGGGCTCTGGGCTCTGTTCTTGGGACTCCCGACCCTACGATTTGTCTACCAAAATCGACCGTAACCCCCCTCCATGCCCCCCCCTCCCCACCTGGCCACGGCATCCTCCGGCCTCTGGGCTCTGTTCTTGGGACCCCCCACCCCACGATTTCTCGCTCAAAATCGACTGGCA